GAGTTGAATGGCCGAGCGGTTAAGGGAGGCGCCGCTACCTATAGCCATAACATTCGGCGCTGGTTCGAACGGCACGCTCGCCTATGGTTCCGGAGGTGGAACAAGTCTTCTCGGATAAGGACTTTAAACCGTAGGCCCAGTGTACACATTTGGCTCGTGTGCACTATAAAGAACCCAGTGCATCTTTCGAGAAGAGTAGGGGGTTACCCCGATGTACTGGTTCATTCATATGTTATGTGTTGATTGGTCTTAGTTAATAATATTACAGTTTAATGGCTCAATGTTAATAATATTACAGTTTAATGGTTTACAATAATAATAATATTACAGTTTAATGGTTTAATGGCCCCGGAACCCTGAACCCCGACCTGCGGCCTCTAGCCCCAATCATAGTGCTCGTGCTTCGCTCGCAATCTGACCATTTAAATTCTCGTAGCTACGGCCCTGTAAGTCCAACTTTTATTATTAATGATATTAATTATAATATTAGGCCTTCTACGGAAGGCTCTCAATACAAACTTGGTGCATATGCGCGAGACTGTCGAACAAATATGTTTTTTAAATTACTGATTACTAACCTTTGTTGAATAAGGGTAACTCAACAAGTGAGATCAGAATGTTATGTCATGTTAATAGCGCTTTTGCTTCGGTGACGAAACTCTTACGGACTCCTCCATCATGATGATGTGGTAATGTTACTCTCACGATACTGGGTGTGTGCTGATTCAGATATTGAACTCTAACTGTATGGCCCACCTTATTTTGCGAGCCAGCGCCCCTCACTTAATTTTATATAATTTATTTTGCCATCATTTCATCATCGCTACCACACCGCCATCATCATATCAACATCAGCATCATCACCACCACCACCATCATCATCCTCCTCCTCATCATCATCATCACCATCATCATCATAAAGGGAAAAAAAATTGTTATACCTCTCTATGTGGCGTTTTACATATAAACAATAATGGAGTTGAACAACTACGAAGAAGACTTTACAATTAGCCTAAAAACAAATGTGGGTACAGTATTGAACATTTTGCATTGTTAATTCAATAGTTTAATGGGAATTCTGTCATCATACTATGTATATTATTTTGACTAATTTTGTTAAGCACTGAAGGCATTGCAATTTCCCTCGATAGAGGAAAGCACGCCCCTCGAAAAATTACTCGCCCCCCCCCCTAAAAAAAATCACAACCAAGTTGTTAAAAATCACCTAAAACCACCCCCTCAACTGATCATCGGTGCTGAACTCCCTGAAGCTTAACAATTTAGTAATTTTGAATGCTTAAGGCCCATAATCGATCTTAGCAGCCTCATATTCTGTCAAAGTTACATATATGTTTCCCCCTTTAAACGAATGTGTTGAGTTCTTCTTTGAGAGAGCACTTTTCCGCGGGAATCTGCCTCTGCAACTGGCACCACCACTTAATTTCAATTAAAAAGAAAATAAAAAATAGAGTTTGTTGGGAACTGACAATTTTACATACTTATCATGATAAGTGGTAAAGTGCAGCATTCAAAGCAGTCCTCGAATAGTTGCATAGGCCTAATAAAAACCAGGCTTATACAAATTTGAAATAAAAAATAAAGCATATTTCATCCCAAAAATATTTTTCAGGGGCGCAGCACTTTTAATGTTGTCGGTGACTGGTAATAGAACTTGTCATGTCTTCCTTTCTTTGTGCAAGTGTAACTGTGGGCGAAGTATCGTTTCCTGAATTGGGCCTTTTCCCCTATCAGAGTTAAACTAAATATTTTTGTCTAACATATTGACCTTGCTTCTGACGTCTAACCAAATATTGTTACCTACTCGGACGTCGTCCATACAACAACTCCCTAGTAATAGTAATCCTGTAGGAGTATTTTCAAACCAAACATTAATTGAGTTACAGGCATAATCGTGACAAAAACACAGTATATATTTTTTTATCAGCCATACAAAGAATGTTGAACTTAATAGTATAGCAGACAATCTGTGTGATTTCACCTGTCTTATATCCATAAAATCATAATAAAAACTGAATAAAGTTTTTATTTTTAATTTTCTATGTAATTAGCTGAACTAAGACTACCAATATATTGCCGTTTGTCGATTGGTTGGTAACGGATTTAGAGATCTGGGTGGAGGTCACCCCTACTTCACATTGGCCCAGTGTTGTGTTTATCGAATGGTTATTAATTTTTGTTTTTTTAAATATAGTCTTTTATAATTTAATTTTTTATCGCAGGCAATTCGCTTCGCGGGCCGCCTATAGAACCAGGGCTCTGGTCGGTCCCTTGTTTTGGGCCACGCTCAGACTTGTTTAGCTTTCTTCGCTGTGCTAGGCCTGCTAATATTCAATATTTAATGTTCAATTAAAAAGTTGTTTTATGTTTAGTGGATATACTTTAGGTCCATGCATAAGACTACAATTTTATATAGGCTGTACTTAACAGAAAGTTGACATGCATTTTAAATTATTGATATTTTTTTTTTGAATGAAGATATAGTTATAAGGGAATCTAAATATACTATTTTCTCTTATATCCATATAACCACCATATTTTTATTATTATTTGATTGATTGTGCTTACAGCTATCAATTGCTCTCAAATACTGTTTATTTACGCAGCAAAACACGTTTACTCTCTGGGATAATTGCTGTATATACATATTTTAATGGCGGCTTCAAAGTACGATGATCAGTGTATTAACTAAACAAATTCTCATAATGGCTTTTTCATTAGCTGTAAACACACCGACTCCCAACAATGTTTAACTTTCTTTAATAGAGATGATAATAATATTCAAATTTTTTTCTGTGGAGAGGAAGCGAATTTAGACAGACTAACTGCTTACTGATTGATTGTCTGAGGTTTATTGACCGGTTGGTTGATTGATTGATTGATTGATTTGTTAATGTATTGATTAGTTAACTGATTGATTGAATGACTGATTGGTTGGCATAATTATAGGATGGCTGATTGAATGATTAATTGATTGGTTGGTTGGTTGATGGATCGGTTTATTGATTGTTCGATTGTTCGATTGATTTATTGGTTATTGATTGGTTGGTTAATGATTCACTGGGATAATTGCTGTATATACATATTTTAATCGGTTTATTGATTGTTCAATTGATTTATTGGTTATTGATTGGTCAATTTTTTTTCTGTGGAGAGGAAGCGAATTTGGACAGACTAACTGCTTACTGATTGATTGTCTGAGGTTTATTGACCGGTTGGTTGATTGATTGATTGATTGATTTGTTAATTTATTGATTAGTTAACTGATTGATTGAATGACTGATTGGTTGGCATAATTATAGGATGGCTGATTGAATGATTAATTGATTGGTTGGTTGGTTGATGGATCGGTTTATTGATTGTTCGATTGATTTATTGGTTATTGATTGGTTCGTTGGTTGATTCACTGGGATAATTGCTGTATATACATATTTTAATCGGTTTATTGATTGTTCGATTGATTTATTGGTTATTGATTGGTTCGTTGGTTGATTCACTTCCAATTTATCTTTTGAGTGTTGTGTGGTTTAATCAGTTGATTTAGTATATTAAATGTTTGACTGAATGATTGATTCATCCATTCATTCAAATATTGATTGAACTGATCAGTTGACTGATAAATTATTTAATTGATTGAAAATATAAGATAGTTGATTGATTAATAGACTGATTGATTGATCAATTGAGTGATCAAATGATCAGTTGATTGATCAGTTGATTGATTAGTTAATCGATTGAATAGATAGACTTATTAATAGATAGATTGATTGGTTGATGTTATTCTGGAACTAAACTCTGCCTTGACTGCATCATCGATTGATTGATTAAGATATATTAAATGATTGATATATTTCTGGTACTATATTCTGCTCTATCGATTGAGTGATCGAGTGATTGTTTGATTGGTCGATCAACTTATTATTCTTGATTTTCGTCCCTCTTCCTAAGCTTTTTACATGACAAGACAGGATCTCCGAAAAGAAGATATAAAACGTTTACGTTCCGCTGTAAAACCTTCATACAGAGTGAGCAGTGGAAACAAACTTGAATAGCCCTACTTCTTCTGCTTGTAGGCGAGGCAAAGTCCAAATATCGGTTAGCTTGCTTACCTTGTATGTAGTCTAATGTTTCTGATAAAATAAGCTCGATCAGGAATTCGTTTCAAGTCACATTTCGAAATGCTCTTAAAAACAGTTTTAAAGTCCGGATGTTTAGTTGCATATATGAGAGGATTGAGGCAACTATTCAGTATCAAAAGCAATGTTGTATAGGGAATGGCTTTAATGGAGCCAACACCACTCACCAGCAGATTCACGGTATACGGAGTTAAGCAAATCACGTAAACGACCACGACACAAAATAAATTTTTTGTTACTTGAATCTGGGTCTTATTTAGGCGGTCGTGCGTTAATTTATCCATATCTATGGCATAAGTCAACTCAGATTTCATAATGTTAGTATGCTTACGAATATGATGAAATACAAGTGTACAGCAAACGATTATTACCAGAAATGGCACTGGGTACAGCAGAACCGCAAGAATTATACTGTAGTTCGACGATTTAGGGTGACTCGTGTCCCATGTGCATGAGCTGTAACGAGTATCATACCCTAGTTTGCCGACATCAAACAACGCTGGGATCGATGCGTAAAAAACTGACATCGACCAGATAAAAATTAGCGCAACTATTACCCAGGAGCGTCTGAACGTGCAGGCATTACGATGGTTAAGTTCACTTGCGATCGAAATCAGACGACTAATCGCTATCATAGCCATCGTGTAAATACTGCAAGATATGCAAACGACCGATGTTCCCGCTGCCCAGATACACAGCCAATCCCCCAGAGGCCAAGATCCATTGGTGTTTGACAATAATGCTACTATTTGCCACGGTATATTCAAAGTGGTTATGAGATCCGTAACGGCAAGATTAACAACGTAAACGTTCGTGACGGTACGTAACCGCCGTGAAATGATTACGGAAAGAATTACTAGACCGTTACCAACAATACCGGTTACCATGATCATTGTCAAACAAACTACTTGAAATATTCGTTCAGCTCTGCTCCATGTTACGACTGGGGGAGGCATACTGGTAGATATGAGATGACTAATTGTTGTATTCATACTTCGTCAAAGATTGATTTCTTAGCAAAGATCAATGCCTTATATAAAAAAAGAAATCAACACTAATTATACTCTTGTGAAATATAGGATACAGTAAGTTAATCAGAGTTTATGCCGTCATAATGACTAGATCACAGTATGATACCTGTCAAAATGGGCAGCATTGATAAATCATTATTAACAACGTAAAAGGATTATGTGCCTAACATTTCCCCTTTACTATATCTTCCTCAACTTCTTTTATAGCACATACGTCTGTGTTTATAATTATAAAATTTCCTTGTGATTCCTTAAAATGTCAATTGAAGTCAATGGTGGTCGGAGCGCATTCTATAGTTAAAACTGGTGCTAGCCATTGCGTACGATGAAACATGCAGAACTCGCTGTTCATCTACTTACTACCTTTGTGAAATACACGTTACAGCCAGGAGGTATAAAAGAGTAAAACAATTTTTTTAAAGAAAAAAATATAATAATAATAATAATAATAATAATAATAATAATAATAATAATAATAATAATGATAATAAATAATAATAATAATAATAATAATAATAATAATAATAATAATAATATAGCTCATACGTCTGTGTTTATAATTTAAAAAAAAAATAATAATAATAATGATAAAAGAATTTTTAAATAATAATAATAAACTATCATACTTCCCTGATTAACGCGCATCATCTTTCACATCTAGAGACATAAAGAAATTTATTTGGAACACATTTTATAATACCTTAGTAACAGGAAAATTGCTCGTTTGCACCCACATCGACACCTAATTAACACGGTTGCTTTCCTGGAATGTGTGCGTGCTAGCGATATGTTTGTAAGCGTTGAGATGTTCTTTGGTACATGAGCATTAAATCTGAACAAAGTGTTTACAAAACATTCTCAGCGACGCCAGTTAACATTGATTTCACCGCCCATGTACCTGTCTCTTATACACATCTAGATGTGTATAAGAGACAGTTACCCAGGAGCGTCTGAACGTGCAGGCATTACGATGGTTAAGTTCACTTGCGATCGAAATCAGACGACTAATCGCTATCATAGCCATCGTGTAAATACTGCAAGATATGCAAACGACCGATGTTCCCGCTGCCCAGATACACAGCCATATATCTATATATGCATATATATATACATATATATTGATTTTATTTATTATAGTAGCACCTGTGCCTGTGACTGACCGATACCATGTGAGTTGAATATTTATGTTATTCTAGCCTATATGTGCGACGATAAACCGTCTGGAAGAAACATTGTGTCGTGGAGGGAAAAAGAATATGCATTTTGAATTATATTAATTAAAGACTTTACTTTTATATTTTAACATCGTATTATTATTTTCTGTTACCCCATTATGCCTCATCATATTTTCAGTTCACTTTTGGTGTGACAATTTGGGGGCTCGGCCGGGAAAATTAGATAGAGGCGGAGGTAATAAATGTTATTCGACATAATAATTGTACATGCGAAAGACTTAATAAATAATATACGAACATAAAGATATACATTGTAAAGTTGTTAATGTAACGGTTAAATTTGCATCAAAAAGGCTAATGAGGCTGATATAGATATGAAAAAGGAGGCAGAAAAAGTTAAAATATCGCAATTACAATTACAACTTGAACAGGCCAAAGCTGCACATCAAGTAGCCGCTAATGATACAATAAGTTTTAGTTCCAAGGGCAAACCCTTGGCCGAGCCCCCAAATTGTCACACCTAAGTTACCACCCTTTAATCCCAAAAAAGATGATATCGAAGTAGGTTTGAACGTTATGCCGCCTCCCCCCCCCCCCAGGGTTGGAAAAGAGATCAGGAATGGGCAATTAATCTAGGTGCTTTACTACAGGGTACTGCCTTATTCGAATATTCTCTTCTTCCTCCAGAATATTCTCTTCTTCCTCCTATGATAAAGTGAAACAGGTAGTTTTAAAAGCTTATCACCTAACGGCGGATGGCTTTAGAAAGATATTTAGAGAAATAAGACCCGAATCGGGTGAGAACAGGACAAAATTCATTAATAGATTAAAAAATTACTAAAATAAATGGATTGAGATGTCGGACGATAAAGATTTTAATGGCCTTATAGAATTATTGGTAGAGCGGCTAAGGTTGAATTTCAGGTAGAATCGTGCACTTCTGGAAGAAAATATGAAACTTCCCACAGTAATACTATGACACCAAAAATAACGCCTCCTAATGGCCACCATCTTGAAATCCAATATGGCCTCCCAAAATATTTGATTTTTAATATATTCATATCTACAGCACATGTCATTGCTAATTGAAGATCATTATCCATGTTTTCAATATCAGGGAGTGTCATGCAATTATCAGAAATTATGTCAGATGGCGCCGCCATATTGGATTTCAAGATGGCCGCCAAATTATTGATATTTTTGTCAATATTCATATTTACAGTACCTGGCACTGCCAATCAAAGACCGTTGCCCATGTTTTCGATATCAGGGACTACCATGCAGCCATCAGAAATTTTGTCAGAAGACCACCATATTAAATTTCAAAATGGCCGCCATCAAATTTAATATGACTGCCAAAAAAATTAATTCTAGCCTGTGTGTTCATATTTACAGCACATATCACTCCAACTATAAAAATCAAATAATTGATTTTAGCCAATATATTCATACCTACAGCACGTCATTGCCAATTGAAGATCATTACCCATTTTTACAATATTAAGGAGTGTAATGCAATCATCAGAAATTATGTCAGATGGCGCCGCCATATTGGATTTCAAGATGGCCGCCAAATTATTGATATTTTTGTCAATATTCATATTTACAGTACCTAGCACTGCCAATCAAAGACCGTTGCCCATGTTTTCGATATCAGGGACTACCATGCAGCCATCAGAAATTTTGTCAGAAGACCACCATATTAAATTTCAAAATGGCCGCCATCAAATTTAATATGACTGCTAAAAAAATTAATTCTAGCCTGTGTGTTCATATTTACAGCACATATCACTCCAACTGAAGATCATTACCCATGTTTTCAATATCAGGGAGTGTCATGCAATCATCAGAAATTATTTCAGATGGTGCCACCATATTTCAAGATGGCTGTCACATTATTGCTATTTTTGTCAATATCTTATCTACAGCACAGAATTTCAAGATGGCTGTCATATTGGATATCAAGATGGCGACCAAAATATTTTTTTTCCCATATTTACATATGTAAAGTACCAGCACTGTGAATCAATATTGTGTATATGTATAATTAGGGATATCATGCAATCATCAAACATCTCATAATCATAGTGAGACATGCCTATGGCAGTAAAGTAACACCATTTAGAAAAAAAAGTCCGACAACTGCCACGTTGGATTTCAGAATGATTGCCAATTAAGAAAGGTACATGAAAGAAATGGAAAAAATTAATAGAAAACAGTTAAGGAATAACAAATTGGTAATCAATCGAAAGTAATGAAAATAAAAAAATAAGTAAATAACTGCTTTGTATGGTATAAGAACAAGTGCAGATGGAGAGAGATAGATGCCGATATTAAACATCATTAAAGCTAGTTTTAGCATAAATGAAATTGTGTAAACATAAATCAAATATTCAAATTAATGGTGTGAAGACACTAATATCGAATAGACCTCATGTCTATAAGAAACAATTATTTACAGGACTACATTGGTTGAGAGCTATGCTACACGATGTATAATTATGTCCTTTATTCTAACACTGTATTTACCTTCCTTTGATGATTATTATATAATTTAACAGTGTTAACGGGTATCTTGATTTATATTATATGCAACTATTTGTTTCTAGCCGTAATTATTGTGTAATGGAGTGTATCTGATGGTATTTGAATCTGTTCAACCATGAAGCCTCTGTGTTCTAATGGTCATGACGCTCGCCTTGACAGCGAGAGGTCGCAGGTTCGAGTCCCTCCAGAGGCATTTTATTACACAATTTCTTTATTCATTTATTTACAAGACTACATTTGTTGATAGCTATGCTACACGATGTATTATTATGTCCATTATTCTAACACTGTATTTACCTTCCTTTGATGATTATTATATAATTTAACAGTGTTAACGACTATCTTGATTTATATAATACTATATATAATAATAATAATAATAATAATAATAATAATAATAATAATAATAATAAAAATAATAATAATAATAATAATAATAAAGATAGCCGTTAACACAGTTGAATTTACCCTTCTTCTGTATTTACCTTTCTTTGAAATACTGATATGACCTACTGATATGACACTGAAATAGTAAGTGGCTATACGTTGAAGAAACTTTTTCATACAACTGAAAAAGGAACTTTCATTTGTAGCCGTCTTGAAATCCAATATGGCAGCCCTGTAACATAATTTCCTGAAGATTGCATGATACTCTTTGATATTAAAAACATGGTTAAAGGTGTTACGTTACTGTAGATATGAAGATAATGACAAAAATAACAATATTTTGGCAGCCATCTTGAAAGCAAATATGTCGGCCATCTGACATAATTTCTGATGATTGCATAGTACTCCCTGATATTGAAAACATAAGTAAAACCTTTGAATTACGGTGCTAGGTGCTGTAGATATGAAGATTATTGATAAAAATCCAATATTTTGGCGGCCATTTTGAATTTCAAGATGGCGGCCAATAAGCGGCTTATTTTTGGGGTTTTTTTAAAATGATCCTTAGGTGTCACAGTATCACTGTGGGAAGTTTCATGCTTTCTTCCAAAAGTGCACGGTTTTCTCCTTAGCCGCTCTACTACCTGTTGTTCTAAGGAACATGCTATTTTCTTAAGAGAAAGAAAACCAAAAGATTCCATAATTATGGCAAGCTTTTCTAATCGGTATTTAGAAACCCGTGGGTTTTGGAAGGGAACCCAACCAGTTCATGTCGAAAGGGGAAAGTGCCCTTCAGTGAGTAATTATGATATGATAGTTAGTGGTCCTAGAGAAAATGGTCCTTGAGAAACGTTTAAAAGGGGAGGTCCTGCGACTTATGCTCCTCGTAGATGCTACATTTGTAATCGAGTTGGTCATGTTGCCCGTGATTTTTAGAAAGAAAAATAAAGAAAGAACATATTCAAAATTTGTAGATTTCTTTAAAAAAAAAACACGATATACTTACCAAAATCCAGGAAGGCTTTAGGAGCTATCACCGTCGGGAGGACTATATCTTTACTTTAAAATTTATATGTAAAATTAGACTAACAGAAAAAAATGTCACTTACCTTGCCTTCCGGGACGTTCGACACAGTATGGAGGAATAAATTGAGAACTATCCTATATAAGCTTTTAAAGTGCACATGAGCATTTGTGTAGACTGGGCCTACGGTTTACAGTCCTTATCTGAGGAGAATTGTTTCACCGCCAGAACTATAGGAGCGAGCCGGCCGCGAACCTGTACCGATATTGTTGGCTATGATCACAGTGCCCTTGCCTTAACCGCTCGCTCCAGAAACACAAATTATGTATGAACACGTTAGATGCAACGTTAGGTTTTCTGAGTTTGAGACTGATACGTTCGAGACAAAAGACGGGGTAAAGCAAGGCTGCCCACTTTCTTCTTTGCTGTTTTGTATTTATATAAATGAACTAGCTACTGAATTTTCGAATAATTGGAAACTTGATTATAATTATGAGAAATCAAAGGTAATGGTTATTGGTAAAATGGAAAAAGACAAAAGTCTTTGTAATAGTGAAATTTCTCTTTGTAAAACATACAAATATCTATGTGTACATATAAGTAACTCATTATCCGAACACCAACATGTTGAAGAAGTCTTTAAAAAAAGGAAATAGACTATTTCATTTTATTTCTTTATGCACGAGCGCCAAGAATATGCCAATAAGTGAACTTAATCACTGTCCTACGTGGCATATCAAGTTAACAACAGGGGATTTAATGGACCAGTACATTAGAGTAACCCCCTACTCTTTTCGAAGAATGTACTGGACACTAGCCAAATGCGTACACTGGGACTACGGTTTAAAGTTTTCATCCGAGAAGACTTGTTCCACCACCGGAACCATTGGTGAGTGAGCTATTCGACCCAGCGGCGATATTAGAGTTGAAGGTTACGGTGCCCCTGACTTAACCGCTCGGCCAACCAACTCGACTAAATGGTGACATCAATCAATAGACGATCAAAATTATTTTAATCGTGTTGTTTATGGAGATGTTCTATGGGGTACACTTGCTATACCTTGTTTAAATTATACTTGCTCAGTTTGGGTTCCATGCGACACAGATATGAAAAGAATTTAAAACTTGCAAACACTTATGGAAAGATATATATTAGGCAAGTCGCAACACACCCTTACTTGTAGATTTAGAGTGGCAACTCATCCGTTTCTGAACCTTGATGTTAAAAATATTTGGTTTGTCTTTGTCGGACCGAAAGTAATTTGCAATCCTTTGCTCCGTAATAAAATAACCGGAACAGTAGATCGTTGTCTTTTCCAATGAGGGTTGTTGACTTGTAGGATGACATTGTAACAGCTGGTTTTACTATATCTACCTCTGCATCTTCTTCAGCTTGGATGACATGGTAGCCTTTCTGACGCAGACCGTCTGCAATCAGATGGATAAGTGCCTAATTGTTCATATCATTTGAGAGGAAATATTATCTTTTTTTCCAACGAATTTTGACCTTATGAGTTTTTCGCCATAATGCGCATTCTTTTGTAAAATATGCTTTGCTTCAAACAAAGAGAGAGGGTATGGTGACTGTCCCTTTTCATCCGCAGCCTATAAATATGCCATGCAGAACTAGACTAATAAAGTGTAGGCCCTTACACAACAAGTGTGCAACACAAAGAGGCAACTGTCTTGCGAATGAAAATGGAAAACTTTCAACCATCTTAAAGAACATTCTACCTTCTCAGAGGAGTCGGCAATGAGATAACAGGGATAAATGCTGATAAAGATGTTTCTTCGCCATAGGTAAAGAAACAGTAAAACATGTAAGGTCTTTTGATATTCATACAAACACGAGAAAGGCCAAGACCTATAGCATCAGCACATGCCATCAAGGTGTCTGAGGATCGAACCATAGATCCAGCTCTCCTGTTTCAGAGGTTCTTGGTTGTGTCACAATCTGGAGATCGCTGCCTAGATGAAAAGGCAGAACTTCTAAATGCATTACGGAAACATGTCACTTCAGATGCTGCAGCACACCAGTCCATCATTGGACTGATCATTATGTTCTTGATGGAGGTTCTCTTATCCATCGATTAAAATGGAGAGAAGGGAACGCGTATACTTCAATTGCAGATACCTATGTGTCTTTTAAGCTCGAGCTGTATGGCCAGGCCACCGTAGTATTTGACGGATACAATGGTGGGCCAATTACAAAAGACAACGCACATCAAAGTCGAAAACATAAACTAAATTAGGTTAATATAACAGATGCAACAAAATTGTTAGAAAAAAGATGATTTCCTCTCAAATTATATAAACAAACAGGCACTTATCCATCTGATTGTAGACTGTCTGCATCAGAAAGGCTGCCATGTCATCCAGGCTGAAGGAGATGCAGATGTAGATAATAGTAAAAGCAGCTGTTACAATTTCATCATAAAAGTCAACAACCCTTAATGGAGAAGACAGGTCTGCTGGTCCTTTTACTTTATTACGGAGAAAGGGATTGTAAAGAACTTTACTTTCGGTCCGACAAAGACAAAGAGAAACCAAATGTGTTTAACATCAAGGTTCTAAAACAAATACAAGGTGATGATATGTGCTGTGATCTGTCGTTTGCCCACGCATTCCATGGTTGCGACACAACTTCAAAAAGAATCTTTGGGATTGGCAAGAAGTTCGTCCTTCAAAATGTTACGAAGGGCGATCCTGTTCTAGTTATTTTGCAGATCAGGCTACTATAGAAACAACTGGATTCAAATTAATGGCATCATTGTTTAATGGGACCCAAACTCAGTCTGTCATACCAGGGAACAGTGACTGGCCATACGTTACAATTTCCTTTGCAAGGGTCACTGCAAAGGCTTTCTTAAAACCTTAAAGATGGCCTCCAACAACCTGATTCCACTTTTGACCGACTTATTTGCAAGTCATGCAGTGGATGGGCCCAGAATAAATGATGGACAATAAACCTGCAACTGCCACACTGCTCAAAATAATCCGATGCAACTGCTCTGCATGATGCATTACAATGAAAGGTTGTTGCAGAAAACACGGGCTTCAATGTACTACAGCTTGCGGACATTTCCAACTTGGCAACTGTGACAATATAACAATATATGGTTTTACAAACAAGTACCGATAACGACTTTTCGTTTTGAACAGTGGGTTAAGTTTATTCATATTGCTTCATTATTTATTCTTCTTTTCCTCTTGGTGGCATTATTGTATGGGATTTGTGTCCCTGCGGAGATATGTTACCGAAGGGCTACTTCCTCAAATTACAGGAGAATGGCACACCGTCCTAGTCAATTACCATTCATTTCTGTCAGTTCCATTTGCTTTGTTCCATTTTGTTCCCTGCTATGAGTATCACTATTCGCTATTTTTAATATAACAGAAAAGCACGGCTCCACAAGAAAAGTGATTGATAGCTGTTATAATACCTAGTATTCAATCCCATTTTGGATGGCACGTAGATTCTATGACCAAGAAAACAGAGATTGCCACTGAAACCACCACTGTAGGGTGACTAGTTTATGACTTATGTATATGCAAACAGTATATGGCGGCCATCTTGGACGCCATTTTGAATTTGTTCCAGTGGCGTAGAAAAATATTTTTCATTGGGGGGATGATTGGCGTGTTAGCCAGTGTCGTAACAGGCGGGGGGGGGGG